AGGTACTAGCTAGCGCTACTTTGCAAATTTTAGTCTAGTTTCAGGCCACCGACGCGAAATTTGCCCCGACCTCGAAGGTATAACTACCGGCGTTTTTCCTACAATTTCTCCCTTTTAGCAAGTCGATGAGCTGTTCAAGACCGAGGATAGCGATCAGCGAAGACCGCGCGCTAGTTTCAGGTAGCTTAATATTGTTTTTATTTAATAGTAACTTCTTGCAGTGTAAACAAGCTGGAGCTGGCCGGACACGTGCCGATGGAGCCGCAAATCAAGCAGCTCAACAATGGGTCCGAGCTCGTCCGTTTCCCGATTGCCACCAAGAATCCACGTACGTTGAATTTTGTGTATTTTTTTTGCTTCCCAAAGATTTGTTGCTTGCCAATCTGATTTTCATAATTTCAGGCACCCAAACCGACAACCACGACTTCCACTGGGTTGATGCTCTTGGGCAAGTCGGCAAGTACGCCAAGGACAACGTCAAGAAGGGTTTGTTTTTCTTTAAAATATCTTTTCTGACCTTCGCATAGTTTTAGTATTCTTTATATTGGGTCGCTAAGCCAAATCGGGAATTTTATGTCCAAAAAGGCTTAATCTTATTTATCTCGAGATAGAAGTGCTTCGACCGTGTTGCCAACTGTTTTTTTCAAGTAGCTTGAGCCGCTGAGCCTCTGTCCGATATAAATACGACAATCCTTTTATTTAATTTCCCCCTAACCTCTCCATTTCAGGATCGCAAGTCCACTTCATCGGCCACATCAGCTACGGCGAGTGGCAACCCGAGGGCGCCGACAAGAAGCGCAAGATCACCCGCTTCACCGCCGACTTCCTGAGTGTCATGAAGCGCGCCGGCCAACAACAAGAGTAGACAAGATGTCGTCCCGGGTCTCACCGAATCTCTCATCACCTTCGACGTTTCTAGCTTATTAGATGTTTTCTCGTTTGATCGTTTTTCGTTTGTTGACTATTGTAATAAAACTTCAGGATTAACACTCGTATCTTGACATCTGAATGGTGAATTGGTTCACTTGTATCCTTGTGCACTTGGAATCACATTGAGAATACAAATTGTGGCGCGGCAATCGATAGAAAACAACGCGGGGTTGGAGACAAGACATTTATTCGGCGCAGCTTCCTACTGAAGATGGCCATTAAAATTTTACTACTGTCGGAGCATCGGGAAATTTCATAACATTTGAGAAAGAGGAGAGAACATTAGAAGAAAATACGCCATAATTTTGGCCTTTTAGACGAGGATGGCATCGAACTACGATGACCATCCTCTGGGGCTCCTCAGCGAACTGGCGAGACGCGAGCTCGTCCATTTTCTCGAGAGCGTGCCCGGAAGAAAGGTATTGAAAAATTAAAGCAAAAAAACGCCGTTCAGGAGCTGGTCGTCGACAGTTCATTGCTTCGTCCGCTTGATCGAGTGGCGAGCATGTCGCTTTTGAAAGAGCACGAGGTTTTAGGTTGGGTGGAAATATTGATATTTGAAAGAAGTTTTTAGGTGTATTACCTCTTCGGAAAAACGCAACGCTCCCGAATACTTCTGACGTCAGCCGCTTGTACCTGACGCGCGCTTGCGTGGCGATGACGAAGGAAATTTGCAGGCAAGTGTTCATTGGAGAAAAGCTTTATGCGTTAGTTTCAGGTTGATATGCAGTGATCCTGAAAAGAACAAGGCGATAATCTGGGTCGATCGTCAGTTGGCAGCATGTAGTCGCGAGCTCGAGTTACAAGGTAATTTGTTAAACCAAGAAAAATGCCCTTTCTAGGGGTGCTCGGCACGGTGATAGAGTTCGAATGGGCTCTTCCTTTCGTCCCCGTTGAGAGTGACCTCTTTTCGCTGGAGATTCCGATCGAGGTGACAGCAACACCAACTGGTAAATAACTTTTAAATGATTTTTCAAAACGACAAAAAAGGTTGTTTTCGACGATCGCTTTCTTTCAGGTGACCTCTGGTCCGCCGCCAACGCCATCTGGCAATTCCAGTCTCTTTACGGCCAAATCCCGACTATTTATGGCAAGTTTTAGCAAGTTTATTTGATGGTTTTCGAATTGCTTTAGGTATTGGTGCTCGAGCAGACAAAGCCTGGAAAATCCTGAAGCGACTCTACCAAGAAAAAGGCGAACCTCGCGCCAGCCCAGATCAGCCCGTTTCGCATCTTTTTGTCGTTGATAGGTAAACAGATTAATTTTTTATAATCTTTTTCAGGTCTATCGATCGGGCTTCCATCTATTTAACGGCGCTCACATACGAATCGTTGCTGCACGATCATTTTGGGATTTCTTGTGGAAAGGTGGTTTTCTTTTACACCGCTTTCAATGTTTTCTAGGTCACCTTCGGGGCCGACGTCGAGGCAAAAACGCAGAATCGAAGCAAGGAAAAGCCAGCTGAAGCTCCCGAGGCCCCGAAAAAGCCTAGAGTACGTTTGACACTAATTTATTCTGAGGGAAAGGCGTCTAGGAATCTCTAAATGCCTTTTTGCGTAATTGGTTAAATTTTGGTAAAAAAAGAAGGAGGTTATTAATATTTTAACAAACGTGTCAAATCCTAAAAAATCCATTTTCAGCTCGTTCTGCTCGACAACAATGACGCCGTCTTCTCAGCGGTGCGCAACAACCACATGTCGGCAGTCTTTCCCTTCCTATCAGCAAAAGCCAAGGAACTGCGCGGGTTCTACGATCAGGGCGCGAATTTCGACAAGGTTGAGTTTCGCTTTTTTGCATTAATTAAATTTTTTTAGGTCTCCGCGATGAAAGACTACATCTCCAACGAGTTGAAGCAGTACAAGCAGCAGCATCGGCAGCTGGAGGTTCATATTGCGGCTTGTGAGGTGAGGACCCAAATTTTAAGCGAATTTTCTATGTTTTTCAGGTGGTTTTGGAGCGAACGGCGGCAGAGGGGACTTCATCTCGGATCGAGCTCGAGCACGCGCTCATTGCCGGGGTCGCGGATCTGGCGCAAGTGATGGATTATGCGGAGAATTGTATTTTGATGGTAAATTAATTAATTTTTACGATTAGTTGGTAAATTTTTAGTTGAAACTAAAATCATTTTTATCAAGATTGCGAAAAGTCATGAAATCTTGCCATTTTTAATATTAGATTTGTATTTTAATCGAATTGACTAAGATATTTATTTAAATTTCAAGGAATCGCGAAAGACTTGAATTATTCTGAAAAAAAAGACAAATTACAGGACAATTCCCCATGGCAAGTTCTTCTCTTCGTCTGCCTCGCCTCAGTCACGAACAACGGGCTACCCCCGAAGCTTTTCAATTCTTTTAAGGTATTAGATTTCTTGTTTTAAAGAGTCCATTTCGTTTCAGGATCAATTCATCGCGGCCTACGGTATCGACTACATTCCGCCGCTGCACTTTTTGGCGGAACGTGGCCTGATTACGTTACGCTCCCCCTTGCAGACGGCCAATAATTTTGGGCAATCATTGGCGGGCGGACATGGAAGTAAGATAATTGCGATGATTAAGATAAAAATTTTGATTTTCTTTGTAGTTTTTTATCTAAATTTTGCAGACATGGCAATTCCGGGCGGCCGGGCCCCGGGGCCGGGCCTGTACTCTAATTTGCATGAAAAAAATCCCCCGCTTCCGGGCCCCGGAAAAATATGCAAATTCGCGGGGCCGAGCCCGGGCCCGGCCGAACGGGGGCCGGGCCCGTTGCCATGTCTGAAATTTTGTGAATTTATTTTTATAGAGGCGTATATAAAACACGTATTTCCAGGCAACGCCTCCCTCCCCTTCCTCATCAAGCGGCTTTCCCTGGCCCCGAGCAGCAGCGACGAACGGAAGACCGGCTTTCAGAACCCGCAAAAGTGAGGTTTGAGGTTTCTTTGCAAAACTGGAACCTTTAGGATGAGCTACGTCTTCTCTGGCGCTTATACTCCAGCCATTTGCCAAGTGGTGGCCGACGTGATGATGCACGGGTTCAACATCAACGAGCTGAAGAAGACCTTCAATGGACAGGTACTTATTGATCTTCTCTGGGCTTGATTCCTGGTGTTTAGGTATTTGCCGAGGAGAACAGCTGCGTGCCCGCCGAGCGGAAGCCGGACAACCGGATGCGGAAAGCGATAATGGTCAGTATATTGATTTCTTGTTTTCCTAAATGATTTGTGCTCGCTTGCCTTTGGTTTTTCATAATTAGGGTTTTCCTTATTTCCAAGCTAGCATCTTGAGTTCCTAAATGATCTTTGCCAGCTTGCCTTGCTGGGTTATTCCAAAAACTAGGGGTTCATTTCCTTCAAAGATCTTTGCCAGCTTGTCTCGCTCAGGTTTTAGAAAACTAGGCTTCAGGTTTCCGCCAGAATCGCTGCAAGTCTGCCTTGTTATTCCAAAAAGAAACGTGTCTGAATTCGATTTTATTTTTTTCCGCAAGCAACTCTGCAAGCTTGCCTGCTGTTTCCGAGAAGACGATCTGTAATTTGATGTAATGGAATTTATTTTATTTGTTTCCGCAAGGATTTCTGCAAGCCTGCCTTGTCATTCTAAAAAAGCTAGACTGACGTGTCTCAATTTTAATTAATTTATGTTATTCTCCGTTATCTCCCTAATTCCAGGTCTTCTTCTGCGGCGGGGTCACCTACGGCGAAGTGGCTGCTCTTCGACTGTTGGCTCACTTGAACTCGTTCCGCATCCTCATCGCCACGACGAACATCATCCGCCGCGAGGACTATCTGAAGGCCATGTGCAATGTATCTTTGACCGAATAATATATGTATCTAATTTTTTGTGCCAATTTCCTTCCCAATATCCCATAATATTCTGTGATATCTTTCCAGCATCAATAGCTTTTTGTTTACGGGTAAAAGCTTTTTTCTGTTTTTTTAACCTCTCGCTTCGCCATCCATTCCTTGTTCTAAATTTCCCCTGGGTTGTGTATTTTCTTGGCCACTTTCGCTTGTAATAAATATATTTATTTATGCGCAATTGAGGTCATTTCCTACACGTAATGGTGGTTTCACGTTGATATGTACACTTTTACTCCAGGTGTCGTGGTGGGGTGGCGGTGATGGCGCGGCGCGGTCGTTGCGTTGTCGATTGTCCGCGTCGCTTCTTGTGCTTCTCCTCGTCCATGCGCTTGTCCATGCGCTGCTTGGCGTCGTCGGGGAGCTGTAAGGTGTGCTTGATTATTTGTTTTAAAGTTTTTTAAGCTAGGATTTTGTTGGAAGTTGCTATTTTTAAGGCTTTAAACTTGTAATTCGCGAGTGTAAGGTCTAGATATTTATTTTTTAACGTTTTTAGGCTAGTTAATGCTTTTCGCTTAAAATGTTTTGAAATTATCCTAGTTTTAACGTTTTAAAATCTTAAACTTTAGGTTTTAAAACTTACAGATTTCCTCTCGAAATTGCCGCAATCATGCGGGAAATCGGCTGGCGGGGCTGGGATTTCGTGGTCTTCTCCAATCCTGAAATATTTATATATTTCGTTTATCCTGGCTTAATGAATTATTGTGGTAAACTAAATAGGTTTCTAAATATCTAGTTTCTCTTTTATAGAACTCTAATTCTAAGTTTCGATCCGTTTCCAAGTCTAATTCGATATTTTCCCAAACTCACTTGAACGCGTACGCCGCCCCTCCCATCATGTGCAGCTCCAAATGGCAGTGGGCCACCCACCAGCCCGGGTTTGAGGCGCGGAAACTGGAAAATATTTTCAGTCTTTTTCGATTTTTCTTACCGTATCGTCGCGTAGCCTCCAACTGGGATCAGAATTGTATCACGCAACGAGGGTCTTTTTCTCATTCCCTTTAGCGCGCCACCCCATTGGGCTTGATCGGTCCACCGGAGATCATCGCAGATTGCCTGAAAAAGCTTTCTTAAAAAGAGAGAGAGAGAGAGAGAGAGAGAGAGAGCGAGAGAGAGAGAGAGAGCGAGAGCGAGAGAGTGAGAGCGATATAGATAGAGTGGACGTTTTGCAACAACTTACGTCAGCACTAGGACACGGCAGGTCCTGATTCATATCGCTGATCATTCCCGTGCCGTTGTAGGAGGGCCAGCCCATCTAAAAAATTTTAATTTAAAGTGTTTCTGTCCCTTTTATTTAATTCTTACGGCTAATTACGCTTGTCTCCTTGAAAAAATGTGCGGAATTACGTACCTTGACTAGATACGTATGCGTGGAATGGATGTGCAGCGGGTGGGCGTAGCCGGAGCCGTGACCGCCTCCAAGTCCCATGTTGTAGATGGTTAGCTAAAAGGTGTTCGGTTTACTTGACTTTAGAAGCTTTTAAAAAAGCTTAAAAGCTTAGCTTTGAAAGTTAATTTTAAACCCTATTTTGTATGCTGTAATCTACTATTTTGATTTTTCTACTCACCTGAACAATATTGTCCAGCTTGTGCTTCAGATGATAGAAACATCGGCAATTCTCATCGTATTTCGAGTGGTTTCGCGGGCAATCGATCTAGCAATTATTATTACATTTTCGATAGAATTTTCATACCTTTGAGCAGTCCTTGGCGACCGTGTCCATGAAAGTGTCGCCGTAGTAGTAGGGCATACCGCGCGAGAACTCGAACTTGTAGCCGTTGACGTGGCTGTCGTAGTGCATGTTGATGAAGTGTTCCTGGAAAGGGAAATTTTGGCCTTTTTCATTCATTGTCTATTTTTTGAGTAATTTAATGATTTAATGCTTTGAGCTCAAACTTTTAACAAACCTCATATCCCTGATCGAACTTCTTTTCCGCGAGAATTTCCGGGTCCTGGAGCTCGAAGGGCGACTCGAGCGTGTCGACGGCGATGCACTAAAATTATTAATTTTATGAAAATAGGGATTATGTATAGAATTAATTATAAAGACAATTTTAAGAGCATTTCCCTCACCTCAAAGGGGAAATTCGGGGGGGTACTGCTTGAAGGGGCAGTTGAAGACGGTGCAGGGCTGGCCCTGCGAGCAGGTCGGGTGGCCGAGACGAGCTGGAAAGCGAGTTTTTGGAAAAAGTTACTAAAACTTACGCAAATTCGGCTCGCCATTGTCCTCCACATCTTCGTATTCCAGATTCGCAATGCCGTAAGTCGTCTCGACGTGGGACCAGTCGAAGAAGTAGTACTAAATTAAATATATGAATTTTTATATCATTTTTCCTTATTTTTATTATCGTTGCTATTTTAATTAGATTAAGTATACTTAAGAAACCAAGTACCTGTACAGTCTCCGCAATCACGTAGAAGTTCTTCTTTTCCGGCTTATCGTGGCCCTTGATGAGGATGTCGTAGCGCTCGCCGGGGAAGATGATCAGGTTATTTACCTAAAAATGGATTTCTAGGTTTTTCTATCCGAAATCTTACAGTCATCGGGATCACTTCATTTCCATCAGCTGCGACGATCGTTAGGTTGTGACCCTCGATGCTAAAAATCAAAGAATTTAGACAAATCCAAATAATTTGCCTGATCATCAGCTCCTGAGCAAGACCACCGTTGACGATACGCATCAGAATTGACTCACCTGAAGGAGAAAATCTGAATAACTTAGGTCGCTCTTACCCTGCTTGATTCTGTAGGTCTCAAGCGGAAGCTTATCGGGCCGGGTCCGGATATCGGTCTGATCGTGCCACCCCTTGTCGTTGAAGAGGATTGCGGAGAAGGGGATGGCTCCACCAACGTTTCCTGAAAAAGTAAGGTAATTTTCATGAAGAAATGAACGAAATCATTATTAGTTTAGAAAATGAAATGTTTAGACATTTTAGAAAATAGAAATTTAGAGAAAATTAAATTTTTCAGCAGATTTTAGCAACTCGTGAAAACCGGAAATCGGCTCCTCGTGCTCACCTCCATCATGGACCCTCGTCGGCTCCCAGCACTTTTCCATCTGATCCATGCCGTACATCCATTTCATCGTCTTTTCCTTCAACGCCAACCAGGTATCGCCAGCATCATCATTCGACCAGTCCTAAAACAGGCTAAGTTATCTATTTATCAACCTTTTTCCAAATAAACTACTTCTAACACCAAAAATCGATTGAAAAATGTAAAGATTTAAGAAAAGAAATTTAAGCATTTAAAGGCAGCGATTACCTGGAGCAAAGTGAAGTATTCCCGCGACGGCTGCACTCTTCCGCCATCCATCGTTGGCACCGTCGTATCGAGCTCCCGGACGACGAAGCCGCCGGCAAGTCCATCACCGCTAAAAAGCATGATTCATAACTGAATTTAATTGAATCAAAATTAAACAGGACCTTCTTAAACTACACTTCACCCTAAAAATATTATAGAACCCACCGATCCGACTGCAAATGTCCGTGGTACCAGTGGGTCCCGGCACGGTCGGCGAAGAAACGGTATTGATAGCTAAAATAATGAATTACATAATTAAGACAATCTATTTTACTTTGTCATCGTGGCGATAGGGCATTGCTGGACGAAGGAGACACCGTCCTCGTACCAGAGGCCCTAAAAATAGAGTTAAACTGCGGCAAGCTAAAGGTGATGAGAGAGAGAGAGAGAGAGAGCGAGAGAGAGATAGAGAGCGAGAGAGTGAGAGAGAGCTGTCTAAAATCTTACCTGCTTGTCGATACCGTGGAAATGGATCGAAAAGGAGTCGAGCATCAGCATGTTGCTGACCTTGACGAGCACCTCAGCGCCGAAGGGGACGACGAGAAGCGGGCCAGGGCTTAAATTATAAGGATTAAATTTAATTAAAATCATCATAATCAAAACCAAAAAATTCACCAACCTCTTTCCGTTGATAGAAATGACGCGGAAATGAAGACCATCGAGGGTAAGGATGTCTTCGATAAAGGCCTGAAAAATGGGTTAAAACGTGCCGAACAGGCAAGAAAGAGAGAGAGAGAGAGCGAGAGAGAGAGAGAGATAACGAGTTCCACTTACATCCGTTTTATTATTCGTCAAATCCATCTTGTCCCGCTTATCGCAAGCCACCAGCTGGTCCGGGTCGCGGGCGTACCACGTTTGCTAAAAAATGGCACGTTTTTAGGCGGAATGGCTACAGTAACACGTAAGGTAGCATACTACGTTGTATAAAAATCATTTTTTGGCAATAATTTTACCTGATCGACATCATAATCCACAAGAGTCCGATGCCCGAATGGGGGCTCGCCGTAGCTCATCGTCAGCTTCTTCTCCACCATCAGGTGGAATTCGTAGACGCCGTTCTAACAATGGAAATCATTGATTAAGAATTTACAAGTATAATCCTACTATATATAAAAAAATAGGGTCTGTGTGTGTGCCACTTTGCATCCACTTCCGTATCGTTGTTCCGGTCGTATCTCTATAGGGGAAGAAGTTAGGGGTGGGTACGATACGTCATTAGGTGCCTAATGGTCTAGGGATGACTGCCCACATATCAGATTTATAAAAATCAGCCATTTTCGATATTAAATTTAAGTTTTTGTAAAAGCCTCTTCGCTAGGAAAAATTTACATTGACCGGAAGTCCTATATAAAGGGTCACAAGCGAATCATTTTCATTTTTTTGGTCATCTGAATTCAGCGCAATTATGCAAAGCGTAAAACAGCATGCGGTCCAAGACGGGGCCAGGGTTGAAAAGTCGCGAAGCGGCTTTTCAACCCTGGTAGTTTCATTAAAAAGTTTTGGAAACAAAAAAAATATTGTAAAAACTCACTGCATTCGGCTGTGCAACTTCGATAGGCTCCGCATACTTTGAATAGGCCGCTATCGTCTTGGCGAGCGCGAGAAAAAGTAGTAATCGAGTTGCTGTGCGCATTTCTGAAATCAGAAGCCATATAAAAGTTTCAATTTAAATTCTAAAGGTTTAAAAAGTCTAGAAAAAATGCAGAAAATAGTGAAAGGTAAAGAAAAGTTGCAGATACGGTAATTGTGGTACGAGAATTTCTGAAAAAGTACATTTTTGAGCTTTTGATGAACTGTTAAAAGTCTAGAAAAAGCAGAAAATGACAGAAAGTATATAGAAAACGCATCATTTATCGATTTGAGCCGCGACTACAAGATCATCTCCAGCTTCTGATCACCAAGTTCTCACCCTTTCCGGTGGACTACTGTTTTCCATAAGGCGGAAGGTAAACAATATCTATCTTGACGAATTTGGGAGAGAGCGTGAGAGAACGAAAGAGCGAGGAGAGATAGAGAGATAGAGAGATAGAGAGAGAAAGAGAGAGAGCGAGAGACAAAGAGAGAGAGAGAGCAAGAGAGAGAGAGAAACTTTTGCGCGAAACGGTCCGCGACGATTTACGCGGAAATCTCGCTCCCTGTGCGAGGTGAGAAGGAATTGCCGGTGGTTGGCGGGTAAACAATGTTTGTCCAAGTGTCCTAAGATTATTTTGAGTTTTTGAAAAGCGGCCAGGAGGCCATGGGGGCCGAGTTTTGAATTTTGGACTCGAGTACGATGGGGGTCGGAGGCACCGGAAGTGGTGGAACAAATAGCAGAAACTGCCTGAAAAGTTATACCGGCCGTTAATGCGTATCCATCGGATTTCGACTTCCTTCACCAGTAGATGATCAGAAAAAACAACTTGTTCTCTCAAGAGTCGGAGAAAGAGAAAAAGAAAAAAAAAAGAGAAAAAGAGCATATTCTCTAGAAATCGTAGCTCAAATAATGCATTGATAAAATTGTCGGCCAACGAGCTCAAGGAGTTCAATAAGTGAAACAAATTATCAGGTTTTTGACCAGTTACTGTGGACTCCGCCGCCGCCCAATCAACGAAAACTCACCCCCACCCCGTCCTAAATAAAGCCCAGCCGGCGGGTGTTTGCTTGTGTTTGTCTGCCCAAACAAGTGATAACGCTTGCGCCACCGTCATTTCTCTTTCTCTCTTGCTCACGCGCGAATATCTTTAAAGGTGAGGAAGTGAGAGGCATGTGATTAGGAGGAGGGGCTAGGGAAAACGAAAAGGAAGAGGTGAACAATCGGCATTGGCGGTCAGGAACCTGCTTTTGGAGTTTATGCTCAAATGATCAACATGGAGCTCATTTTTTCTAGGAAATCCTGTTTGTAAGCAACGGGAAAAATGATATCAACGCTTTCTGGCTTACAAGTTTTTTCGACTAATTTTAAGTAAGCGCCACCAGACACTTCCGGTCATGTGATCGAGCTTTTTAAAGGGACCACAACACGAAAATCTACTCCTAGCAGCAACTGGGTATCGACAACTACGCGCTACATGAAAATACGCATTTTAGGGCTCTTAAAAGCGTTGTCAAAATGATCTTAGGGGTATTTTAAGTGTAGCTGGTGGCTGTCCAGACCTAGTCGGTGAGAGGGGTCGATTCCGGCGCTTCTGAGTCCCTTAAACTCTTTTTTCGCCTTTAAAGGGACTAGAAAACTCCGGAATCGACGTTTTCTCGCGGATGGAGATTGTCAGCTCCGTGCAACGCCAAAATACGGAACATAGCTTTAGAAAGCGCTAGAAGAATGCGTTGTCAAGGTCCAGCGCGCGGAAGGGGTCCAACCCCGCTTCCAAGTCCCTTTAAACGGCTCGATTTCCTTAGGTGGTGCAAAAGTTCAAAAAATATTTGGGTTCCAGTCTCGGAACTTCAAGATAGGAAAGGAAGAATCGAAAAGCTGGAAATGAAGCCAAAAAATAGAAAACGATTAGCTGATTAGTTGATGCCCGGTATCAAGCTACCAAGCGGATCTCAAAAGTGCACCCCTTGCGCCCCCTTTATACTCCAGCTTCCTCCAGGGCCACTACACAGCACAAATTGTTCAGCCGGACGGACACAACAGTCCGCCCCGGAGGTTGGCGTGAGGCACCAATCTCGGACTGTCAACACCCCCGCGCCGCGCTGCCGTGTCTGCGGATTCTTGATACGTGATAACGTCGCGCATCCTCGTCGAAAAAAGGCGAGAAAAATCGAAAAATATCGCTCTCGCTCTCTCTATCTCTCTCTCTCTCGCTCTCTCTCTCTTCCCTGGCTCGATATTTGCAACCTCAACGTGCGCGGGTAGGTCAGGAAATTTTGGAGAGATGGGGTTGGTAATTTTGAAATCCTCTGTCAGTTACATGCTAAATTCGATAAACGTTATAAATTACTGTAAAAAAAGCGCAATTCGCATCAAATTCAGCTGGTGAAACAGTTGGCGGATGAAGCTTGAAATTGCTCATCTTTTTCCGGAAATCGCTCGCCACCGAGACATTACAAAAATGACAGCTCAACGCCGACGACGTCTAGAATAAAATTCTCATCAGAAAAGATCTTTCCGGGAGTTCGATTGCAGCTTCGCGACTTCCGGTTATAGTACGCTCAACGGCGCGTTTTCCTCAATCTCCTGACGCGTATTTCTTTGCTTTTCCAGGAGTATCAGGCATGATTTTTGCTTCAGTTTGACGTATGAATCTTCAAAAATTCCGCAGATTCCGGTTACAGTACACTCACCACGCAGTTTCCAATTGTCGATATTTTTCTTTTGCAGGAGGATCAGCAGTCGATGCTTCGTTTAGTTTTCCGCCATAAGCTTCAAAAAGTCAGACCAATTTCTGGCTGCAGTGGGATCACTAGGACTTTTTTTGCATTTGCACGACTCCTTCCAGTTTTTGCGCATTTTCGAGAAATAACAGAAAACGCATTATTTGTGGGCTTTTGTTTTACACAGGATCTTCAGAAATTCAGACCAATTTCAGGCTACAATACTCTGCCAGCATGACACATAGGAGACACCACTGTTAACACAGTTGTGCCACCTGTAGATTATTGAACTGTACCCCAACAGTGTCACAGCTGTACTTGGGGTACCCACAGCAGTGCCACCACTCGGCCACTGCCATGCATACCCCAGCATAGCGGTGGCACCGCAGAAGCACAGTTCATGCTCCTCGCACTTCCCAAACCAATTTCCGAGTGGAAATTGGTTTGAAAAGTACTCGGAGTTGAGCATGAGCACCAAATATCAAGGGTATTCAACCCCAAACACGGAAAAAGTACACGGAAAAAGATAAGTAAAATTTTTATACCGACAATACGTCAAAGGTCACATAAAAGAGTATGGCACTTCTATGAGGGGGGGGCGGATTGTATAAAATGTCTTAGGCCTGTTTTACACTATTCATCCTCCTAAAATTTCTTTAGCCGGATATGCCCCCAAAAAACTACGGAAATTTTTTGAAGTTTGAAGTTTTGAAGTTCTTCAAGCTCTATAAGTGTGCCAATCTCAAATCGCAGTTTTATGTCCGGTTGGGACCGTCTCCTTGTCGGCCAAAATTAGTGTTAAATCAAAAACCCGAAGTAAATGGAGTCGAAAGCAGTCACGAGAAAACTTCCGACATATAAAACATATATTTTACGAAAATTTTATTTTTTGACCCGAAAAAATGACTGAGTCCCGGGCCACAGCTGTGATTCCGCTCCGGGATGCCCGACACAGCTGTGATTCCACTCCGGGATGCTCGACACAGCTGTGACACCGCACTGGGGCAGCGGTAACGGGGACACAGCTGTGAGTGAACGCGAGCTGTGACACCGCTAAATTTTCCTAGCTACACAGTTGTGCCACCGCTAAACGGCCACTCACAGCTGTGTTTCCGCTATTAGCGGTGTCTCCTATGTGTCATGCCGGCAGAGTAAGCTCACCGGTGCATTTTCTGTACCTTCAGGGCTCTTTCGAGTCGAGCTTTATCAGGCATTCTTCGCTTCAGACACACCGGAATCTCCCCAAGAAAAGATTTGCCCTCTTGTTTTGTCCGAAACCCGCCCTCAGACGGTATTTTCCACTTTTTGGACCCAACGTGAATACAATTTATCAAAGTTGCGCCCCCGCCGGCAGGAGGGAACGCTTATCTGCTCAAAAAATGAGATCACATGTCAATGCCCCAAAATCAACAACTCAACCGGAAAACAAACAATCAAAAACACGCTTGCCGTGCATAATGAGAAGGGCACACGTACTAGGCGGTGAGCCAAGCCCGTCCAACAACTACACTCAAGATAAGGAGAAGGGGGAGAGTGGGTGGTTGGGCTTCTGTACCATGTGCTGCTTCAACACCGATGGCTCACTGGGTGAACGTGTGCTTTGTGCTGCGCCACCATTCTCGCACTTTCTCGTGACCCTCCTCGCTGACGACGACGCTCTGCAAAAGGGTCAGATGACCGGAAGCGTATGGATGAAGCTGGTTTCAAATTAAATTCGACTTCCTTATCGGCAAAAGCCAGCCGGAAATCTCAGGTACTTTCTTATTAGCCGGCGGGGGAGAGGCGGGTGGTAAGCCATTTTTCCCCCATCGCGCCTGAAGGTGAAGCAAGTAAATTTAGCCAATTTTAATCGAATTTCATGCCTTGATGCCGCAAGCATTCGTTAATTACAAATTTAGTAAAGTAAAATCAAAAACAAAAATTCGAAAGGTGCAGCCTTTTTTACAACAATTGGGTGTGAAAAAGCATAAAATTGGTCCAAAACTTCAGATTTAAGAAATTTTTTTTGCTGATTTTTAATAAATCCGAGAAACCCTTATGAAAAGATTTAAACATTACTACTAAAAGCCCAAAACATATTTTATGTATTTTTTCGATAGGTTCGTCTAACTTTTAAAAAATTCCGATGCTCCCCCGCTAAGAGGAAAACCCCAAATTTTCGCAAAGTTGTCCTGAAACTCACCATCCGATTATGCGACCCGTCAGAATGCAACAGTATTTGATTCTCCTCGGCATACTGCTTGACGCCGTCGTATTCTCGTGCCGACTCGAAGCCAGTGTACAAGACGACGTCCTGGTATGTAAGCCGCTTCCGCTCCTCTTCCCAGAGCCTAAAAATGG